CCAAGTCACAGTGTTATCTTGCACTGCTTTCCTTTTGCTGTTTTTGTTTTATTTTGTTATTTTAACTTATTTCATCTTTAAACCTGTTTTATTTACATCGAAGTTGTTCATGCACATAATTTAAAGTATTAGTTCAAAAGGAGCAGTAGCCCCACCCATTTTCTACTTCTCGACAGTGGCCTTGTTAACTCCTTCAGCTGATTATTTTGAGAATGTACTTCCCATTTCTGAATAACGTGCCTATATTGCTGCTGCTTGCTTTTTTTTTTTTTTTTTTTCTGTGTGTAATAGCCGTTGACCCTCCAATGTGGAAAGGAAGAGGACTTAGCTCTGTTGCCTCCCCTCCTCCATAAGATGTTCACTCTTCCCAACACCACTACCACCCTCCCGGTAGGGAGATTATAGGGGAATTTGGTTAAATTAGTATTCAGTGTTTCCATTATTACAATTCTGCAAACATTATTTACTGTAAGTTAAGGATCAGTTATGGTTATGAATACCTTCTTTTCTTGCACAACATTTTGTTTTTCCTGAAATTAATAGTTATTCTCTTTTTTTGTTTTTTGTTTTGTTTGAGATAGGGTCTCACTTTATTGCCCGGGCTGGAGTGCAGTAGCATGATCACGGTTCACAGTAGCCTTGACCTCTTGGGCTCAGGTGATCCTCTCACCTCAGCCTCCCAAGTAGCTGGTACTATAGACTTGCACCACTATACCTGGCTAATTTTTTTTTTTTTTCTGTTTTTCGTAGAGTTGGGGTTTTGCCATGTTGCCCAGGCTGGTCTCAAACTCCTGGGCTCAAGCAGTCCTCCTGCTTTTGCCTCCCAAAGTGCCAGGATCACAGGCTCATCACAGATGAGCCACCACATCTGGCCTCGGTTTTTTCATTTGTTTAGATTCTGTGTACTTATCATTCATTTAACTGTCCCCCATATATGTGCCTTTCTGTTCAAGACATTTGAATACTTAGATATTTGATCCATTTTATCTTCTTGAGAAAAACATCTCTCCCGGAAACATTCTGACAAGCTCTAGTTTGAGCTGGTTCTTCTCTAGACAGCTCTCTAAAGTGTGGACCAGACCAGCAGCATCAATATCTTGGGGAGCTTGATAGAAATGCAAATTCTTGGGCTGTACCCCAGACTCACTGAATGAGAATCTCTGGGTCCAGCAAGCTGCGTTTAATAAGCCCTCCTGGTGATTTACATGTTCTTAAAGTTTGAGAAGCAGCTACTCATCATGCTGGGACTTTCTCATGTCTCTCCTGGGTTGAATCCTGTTTCAGGGATTCCCCTGCACTCCCCTTTCATTAGCTAATTTCCTTGCATGCCGGGAGCACATCCTTCAGTAGCTTTTTCAAAAAGGGATGGATGCAACTCTTTTGAGAACTTCTGTGTCTGAAAATATATTCTTCTATCTTTATACTTAATTTGGTAAGAATAATTAGATTGGAAATAATTTTCCTCCAGAATTTCAAAGGCATTTTTCCATTGTCTTTTTTTTTTTTTTTTTTTTTTTGAGATGGAGTCTCACTGTGTCACTGAGGCTGGAGTGCGGTGGTACGATCTTGGCTCAATGCAACCTCCACTTCCTGGGTTCAAGTGATTCTTCTGCCTCAGCCTCCCAAGTAGCTGGGACAACAGGCGTGCGCCACCATGCCCAGCTAATTCTTGTATTTTCAGTAGAGATGGGGTTTCACTATGTTGGCCAGGCTGGTCTTGAACTCCTGACCTCGTGATCCTCCCACCTCGGCCTCCCAAAGTGCTGCAATTTCAGGGATGAGCCACTGCATCCGGCCTCCGTTGTCTTAGAACTGTTGTGGAACCAAACTGGGTCCCACTCACCTTGCACAGTAAGACCAGATAGCTACACTGAGGTTTTGCAGTGGTAAAAAGGAAAGTGTTTATTCACAGGGCACCCAGCCAGGAGGACTAGGCAGCTCATGCTCAAATCCTGACCTCCCCAATGACTTGCACGTGAGGGTTTTTAAAGGTGTAGGTAAATTTCAGGAAAGCAGAAGTTATGGGCAAAATTGTAAATCAGTACATGAAGGTTACAATTGGTTTTGGCCTAAAAGGGCGGGACATCTTGAAGTGGAGGCTTGTAGGTCAGAGGTAGATTCAAAGATTTTCTGATATGCATTTTGTCAAGGAAGAGAAGCTTTGTTTTAAAATGTGTGTTCAGCAGAAAAGAACATTAGCTCAGGCTCCTGGGCATGACTTCCTCCGTGCCCCCCAGGAAGAACTTTCAAACAAAGAATGGTGCTCAGAGTTCAGATCTCAGATAAGGGGCAGCAGAGGACCTCAGCCTCTGAGTGGATCCATTTGATGGGGGTCCAGGTTTCTGAAAAACAACTCAGGACATATGTTAAGTGTTATCTTTAATTTCTGTAGGGAAACCAAACATCTCCTGACTCTAACTTCCTGGCTATTGTTTTAAGTTACTATTACCTTCTTGCTTATCAAGTTGCTGATAATTTCCCTTGAAGAAAGTCAGGATTTTCCTTTATTTCCAGGCTAAGGGCAGGGGATTTGCAGGCCCATAAAAGGTGGGGACTCTGCTTCATCTCGTAATTTCCATGGTTGCTGTTGAGAAAACTGATTCTATTCTGATCCTTGATACTTTATATGAAACCTCTTTTCCTTTTGTTCCTCTGTAGAATCTTAAAGAACCTTTACCTTTGCTCCTAATAAATAAAATTGCACCAGGATGGTCTTGGTGAAAGTCACTTGTCATCCACGGTGCCAGGCATTTGGAACATCCTTTTGATAGAGAATCATTTTCTTGATTTCTTTGATGATTCTTTTCCTTTTGTATGTTCTCTTCTTCCAAGAACTCCTATCATTTTTTTAGGTTGAATTGGGCTTCCAATCTTAGTCTTTCTCTCTCACTTCCCATCTCTTTGTCTTTTTTACATTACCGTCAGAAAGACGTTTCTCAACTTTGTACTTGTATTGAGTTTTTCATATTTTCAATTTTCAAGAGTCCTTTCTTTGTTCTGAGAATGTTCTATCCTGTTCTTATTTCATGAATGGAATACCTTCTCTGATTTCTCTGATAATATTTTAGTTGTTTATTTAAGGTGTTTTTTTTTCTCTGCCTTGCGTAGTGTGTTCCCTGCTTGCTTTTTCCTTTTGTTTGTTTTGGATTTTATCTTTCGTATTAGAGTCTGTCCTCAAATGGCTGGTGACCCTCTGGACATTTTCAAGTGATGCTGGTGCTCCTTCTGTGGGATCGGTATTTTTTTTTCGTCAATGTCTTTACTGTAGGACTATCTGACTAGGTTCTTCTTTGCAGGACATTTGTACAGGCCAACCATGCTTGGTAAACAACCCCCCAAATCTCTGGCCTCATCATCTACCCCAAGACTCACCCCAGACTGCTGCATCTACACAGGTTTCTCTCTATGCCCAACATGGGCCTGCCTCAAGGCCTTTGCACTTGCTGTTCTCTCTCTCTAGAATACTCCTCCCTGAGATATCTCAATGACTGATGACCTCACTTCTTTTAAGTTCCTTCTCAAATGCCACTTTGTCCAAGAGACTTTGTCTGCCATCATCCTTCATTCCCCCACCCTCCACTGTTACTCTAGAACACGATTGTCCCTGAATTACTATGTATTTTTTCATTTATTTGTTTGCATCTTTCTTCTCTCACTGCAATGTCAATGCCACAAAAGCCGAGGCTGTGTATTTTGTTCATTACTCTATTCCCAGTACCTAGAACAAGGCTTGACACAAAGCAGATGCTCAGTAATAGTAGCTGATTAACTCAGTGACAAACTGGTGATATTTCTTTACTTCAAAGATTATATTCATGAGCAGCTAGTGATTAAAGAGGAAGTTGAGAAGTATCCAGGATAACAGAATTTTAAATATCGTCTATTCTCCTTATCTGTGGTAGTTATGTTCTGTAAACTCACTGAGAACACAGCGTTAGTGAACACTGAACCATTGTTCCTAGGGGAGAAACAGGGTTAGGTTCCTACAAGCTTCTGGTCACAACATTTCCATTAACCAGTCAATATGTAGCATAGTTCTATGTGTGTTTCAGTTTAAAGATACCTTATTTGATAGATATTTTTAATTTATTAACATTGGACTCACAGACATCAGCACTGTAACTCATACCTGAATGAAGCTTCTGTAACACACCCATTTCTCCAGAGGGCATGCCATAGCTTTCTTGTGTTTTGGGAGACTAGATAGCACTTCTGCACTGTGTTTGGTGATTATTTTAAACAGTAAAGTCACCAAGAAAAAGCACAGAAATGCAAAAACTGTGCTACTAGAGTATGAAAAGGATGTTTACAGCATGAGAGCAGAGATAAGAAGGCAGAGTGCTACCTTATTCCATCTCAACTGAGCACATGCATGCCGGGCAACTCAGATTGTTCATCCTCTGTGTGTATCCATGAATAACTGTAAAAGCACCATGAGCATTGGTTTGGGGGTTATAAATAAATTTTAGCAAGTACAGGAATTGGCAAATACAGAATCCATAAATAATGAGCACTCATTGTAGTTCAGAATAGAAACTACTCTATAACTTAAGGTCACCTAACATATTTTCTTAAAAACCATTCAATGAAGTGATCAAAATCAACAGGAACATTAATATGCATGTGCCATTTCCCGTGCTTTGTTGTTAAATCCAAGGAGCTCCCAGTCCACTGGGGGTCCCAACCTAGAAGAAAAATGGAACAAGCTTTGCTCTGCATCTTGGCTCAAGTCCTGAAGGTGCACTGAAATGGGGGCATCCTGGAGGCCTTAGGGGGACTTCTCAGGAAGGTGACCTGTGCAGTCTTGAAGGATGTGTAGCAGACCCCACATAGGGTGGGAGGCATTACACACAGAGGACCAAGCTTGAGAAGCACAGAGGCGAGCAGAAGTGGCCGCTGGACTGGGGAAGTTGACTGGCAAAAGTCTTGGTGGGGACTAGGCCAACTGACCTCAGTGTTGTGTTTCTACCTACCCCCAACTCCTGACCTTTGGGTTTTAGAAAGACGACACTCAAAATCTGCTCAAGAATTTGGAGTCTAATGCGCAGACCCCCTTGGAAACTGGCTCCCCATCAAGGAGGAGGAAGAGAGAAGTGCAGATGTCAAAGGACAAGGAAGCTGTTGATGTAAGCTCGGTGTTGGTGTTTGTTTGTGGAGGCACATGTGGGAGGTGGGGTGTCCCCCTGGCAGCCAGGTGTCACGTAGACAAGCCTCTGACAGATATAGTTTCCCAATGGGCTGCTTTTTTTAGGCATAATTTACATACAATCAAATGCGCAGACTTTAGGTTTTACAGTTTGATGAGTTTTGAGAATTGCACACCCCTTAGAACCAATATCCCCACTGAGAATGTTTTCATCACCCAGCAAGTCCTCTAGTGCCCCTTTCTGGTCACTCCCCACCCCCACACACTTCCAGAGGCACCCATGCGTGGGATTTCCATTGGTTGGTTCTGTGGTTCTAGAACCTTATGCAAATGGAACTGTGCTGTTCCGTGCCTGTGTTTCCTCCACAGAATGCCTTGAGATGTTTCCCTTTTGTTGTGTATATCAATTCTTCCCCTGTTTTTATTGCTCAGTGGCAGTCAACTGTGTGCATGTGCCACGCTTTGTTGATTGCTTTCCATTTGGTGGGTGTGTCATTGGTGGACTGGGCCGGTTTTAGAATTTGGCTGTGATGAATAAGCCTACTATGAATGTTGGTGCAAACGTTTGCTTATTTTCATTTCATTTTACTTCCTTTAATTAAATCTCTAGGAGTGGGAGTGCTGGGCCTCTGGAAGAGATGTTAAAAAAATTCTCTTTGCTCCTGCCTTCCTGGAACCCTTACTCTATCCACAGAACATCGCTTTCTGGGTGAGCCCCGTGGGTGGAGAGGATGTGACATTTCTTGTCACCTCCTTGTCCCCTAGAAAGTACTGCAGGCTTCGTCTTCTGGGATAAGGGGAGAGAATGAACTAGTATTATTTTTTAGCATCTACTCATGCCAGGCAGTTTACACCTTTCACCTGTGAGTGATGCCAACACTCATGTGAGTGATCTCGTGCCCTTCTCTCAGCAGCCACGTGAGGCTGATCTGAGTTATATTCCCGTTTTCCAGATGAGGAAGCCGAGGCTCAGAGGTAGGCTACTCTCCTGAGTCCTGCAGCTGGAGAGTAGCCAAGCTGATATTTGTCCTTGAGTTTGCCGGGCCCCTGCTCGGGAGTGCTACGACTGCACACCTGACTCCTAGCCTCTGCCCCTTTCCAACCTGTTCCATCCTGTTCCGCAGCCTCAGCTTACCACAGAAGAAAGTGGGCTGGGGATTTAAAAACGGATTTCCCCAAAGGTCCAAAGTCAGTAGGGCTCAGCTTCTAGTTACTCTGAACAATCAGCTTTTGCATCAGCCCTGCATCTCCCTCCCTGGCTGGCGGGATCCTGTGGAGGGGGCCACTGCCCTGCTCTCAGCCAGCGTGGAGCCGGGGAGAGATGGGCAAGCCTCTGCTGCTATCCTGGGACATGGCTTGCAGGAGATGAGACTGGAACAAGCAGATCTTTAACTTTACCCTTGGTAATTGTTAGCTTGATAATGGGTATCTGCTAGGTGTAGCCGAATAGTGAACAGGTAAGACATTACTAGGCAGGAAAATATGAGTTAACTTTACAGCGGGGTAGAAAGACTTAGGCCTCCCTACAAACACCGACTGAGCCCCTATTTGGATGTGCCCTGTGCTGTCTCTGACACCGTGTGCTTGCCTCTCCACATGTGTCTGTGTATGTCCCAGTCCATCACTCTCTCACGTGTCTCTGTGGGTCTTTCTGTGTGTGTCTTTATGGCAGTGTGTGAGCTGCAGGTACACGGCATCTCCCTGTCTCTGTGTCTCTCTTCCGCTCATCTCTCTCTCTACTGCTCTGCCCCTGTCCCTCTCTCACTCTACTAGAATGTGCTGATAGATGTGAAAACAGATGTCCACCCAAAAACTTGTACACAGATGTTCAAAGCAACACTATTCACAATAGCCAAAATGTGGAAACAACCCCAATAGAAAAACTGGAAAAATAAAATGTGATATATGCAGACATTGGAAGGTTATTTGGCCATAAAATAAAATGAGGGGCTGATCCATGCTACAACCTGGATGAACCTGGAAAACATGCTAAATGAAAGATGCCACTCACAAAAGACCACATGTTATAGGATTCCATCCCTGTGAAATGTCTAGAACAGGAAGATTTATACAGACAAAAGTAGATTAGTGGTTTCCGGGGGCTGGGGCAGAGGAAGGGGAGGGATGGGGTGACAGCAAAAGAGGACCGGGTTTCTCTTTGATGCCATGAGAATGTTTTAGGTTGACTATAGGCTGGGCATGGTGGCTCACGCCTGTAATCCCAGCACTTTGGGAGGCTGAGACGGGCAGACACTTAAGGTCAGGAGTTCGAGACCAGCCTGGCCAACATGGTGAAACCCCATCTCTACTAAAAATACAAAAATCAGCTGGGCATGGTCAGGTGTGCCTGTAGTCCTAGCTACTTGGGAGGCTGAGGCAGGAGAATTGCTTGAACCCAGGAGGCAGAGGTTGCTGTGAGCCAAGATTGTACCACTGCACTCCAGCTTAAGTGACAGAGCGAGACTCTGTCTCAAAATAAATAAATAAATAAATAAAGTTGACTATAGTGATGGCTGCACATATTTGAAGATACTGAAAACTATAAAATATTATGCTTTACATGAATGAACTGCAGGGTATGTGAATTAAATCTCAAAGCTGTTAAACAAACAACGCAGCTCACACATGGGGTGTCCTTGAATGTGATGAAAACAGTGCTGGCTTTGGGACCTAGAATCCTGGAACCCAGTCCCAGCTCTGCCACATGTTTGCTGTGTGATGTTGGGCAGGAAGCATAACCCGTCTGAGCCTCAGGTTTCTCATTTAAAATGACAGCAGTGGTGGTGCTCCCACTGCCATCCCCGAGTCACCCAGGGCTGAGTTAATGCGTGTGACCGTTCCTGCCACAGAATGGGTGCTGAATCAGTGTTTGCAGGGGGGCCTAAGTCTTTCTACCCTGCTGTCAGGTTATTTTTTTCTGCCTAGTAATGTCTTACTTGTTCACTATTCAGCCACACCTAGCAGATGCCTATTATCAAGCTAATAATTACCAAGGGTTAAGTGAAAGATCTGCTTGTTCCAGTGACCGGCTTGTCAGAATGCTCTTGCTTTCTGCAGACTGAGCTTGTCAAAATATGCGGTCAGGGCTGCTTTGGCCCAGTGGGTTGAGCTATAACTTTCTTGTCCTCCAGTGCACAGAAAACCAGGGCCTTGTAGTTCCTGCCACGCCTTGGATGACCTCTGTTTAATGAACAACTCATCTCAGCTGAAAACAAACAGAAAATTCCAGAAGGCTCTGAGGCATGCTATTCCACAGCCTCCGTCTCTCCATCCCATTCCTTTGCTGTGGAGGGAGGGAGAGTGGGTAGAGCCTTTTAGGATGCATTTACGCATTCTCTGAAAAGAACTCCTTTATATTGGTGACGGGAATGGCTTTTCCTTTCCTGCAATTATACTTTAACCAATTTGCTGAATAATTGCATTGCTCTAGCTGAGGAAGTTTTACCTTGTAGATTTCGCTGCAACCAATTTTCTAAATAATTGTATTGCTTTGGCTGGGGAGACTCTTGGAATTTGGAGGACACCTGACCTTAATGAGGAGAGCTTTTAAAAACTAAAGGTGGTGGCTCCTGTTCAGGTAGCAGAGCCTGCTCCTTCCCTGATTTCGTGTGTCACATGCTCCTGCATCCTTCATCCCCTGGCAAAGACCATGACTGTCCTTGGGCTGGCCCTGCAGGGGTTGCAGTCTACAGGTAGACAGATCAGGTGGAGCCTTCCTGCCAGCCAGGGTGTGTGTCTGATGCCCACTTCCCGACTCCTCCATCCCCAGGTGCTGCGCCCTGCACCAACATCCTTTCCTTCTTTTTTTTTTGTTTGAGATGAAATCTCACTCTCTTGCCCAGGCTGGAGTACAGTGATGCGATCTCAGCTCCCTGCAACCTCCACCTCCCGGATTCAAGTGAGTCTCCTGCCTCAGCCTCCTGAGTACCTGGGATTACAGGTGTGCGCCACCACACCCAGCTAATTTTTGTATTTTTAGTAGAGACGGAGTTTCAACCATGTTGGTCAGGCTGGTCTTGAACTCCTGATCTCATGATCTGCCCACCTTGGCCTCCCAAAGTGCTGGGATTACAGGTGCGAGCCACTGCGCCCGGCCCTTTCCTTTTCATAATTACATTTTTGTTTTGTATTCCCCCCTTGAAGGTAAACCCCTGGGAAGCAGGGATTTTGCTTTTCTATCATGGTCACCCTTTTCTTTGTCCTTTCTTTTCTCCCCTGTTTGTAGGAAGTTTAAAAATGCACAGGGCCCTTTTGCTTTTGAATCTTTCCCTTGAGCAAATGTGTCTCCCCTGGATAGTCAGCCATTGCTGCTGTCCTGGGTGTGACCTGTGAGGTCACAGGGACCATGCTCAGATAGGCCCCCTCTTGGCTGGTGGACTCTGCTGTCACTGTCTTGAAATTCTTAATCATTATTACATAAGAATCCTCATTTTCATTTTGCAGTGGACCCTGCAAATTAGTCCTGAGTTCAGCCTTTTCCATCTTCCTGCCATTCCTTATTCACTGACAAAACTTCAAGCAGAAAGTGGGCCAGAATGCAGGGGACTGAGAGCAGGCCAGGCTCTGTACCCTCAGGTCAGAGGGAGGCCAAGAAGGGTTTTAAGAGGTGCATCAATGGAAATTCATGCTTAAAAAGATCATTCGGGCCAGGCGCGGTGGCTCACGCCTGTAATCCCAGCACTTTGGGTGGCCGAGGCCGGCGGATCACGAGGTCAGGAGATTGAAACCATCCTAGCTAACATGGTGAAACTCTGTCTCTACTAAAATACAAAAAATTAGCCAGGCGTGGTGGCGGGCGCCTGTAGTCCCGGCTACTTGGGAGGCTGAGGCAGGAGAATGGCGTGAACCCGGGAGGCGGAGGTTGCAGTGAGCCCAGATCGTGCCACTGCACTGCAGCCTGGGTGATGGAGTCTCAAAAAAAAAAAAAAAGAATCATTTGATTCCCACGTGGAGAATGAATTGGAAGGCGTTAACCTCTGATCCTCAGTTCGCAGCACCATAAGGTGGGCGTGATAATAATAGTCCCCACCTCCCCAAGCTGACTGATGTGTGACAATTAGATGGGCAAACATGCATAAGGTGGCTGGACACGGTAGACCCTCAATACATGGATGAGGAGCTGGTTAGGAAGTGATTGCAGCCCTTCAGGGTAAATATGCTGGAGGCATAGGCCAGGGCCATGGATTACAGAGAGATTTAGGAGGTTAAGTTGATGGGATTGATTGGTGGTCGGTTGGATGTGGGGACTTGGGATATGGGCGTGTGCAGTGCCTCAGTATCTGATGTAGGTTCCTGAACACGGTGAAGCCAAGCCCAGGGACCTTCTCTACGAACCCCCACTTCCTTTTAAACTTCATGGCACTTACTCTTGCTGTTATTTGCATCATGTTGACAGAGCCAGCTTGGCATCGGCTAAAGAGGGCAGACCTGGGGCCAGCAAAGCTGAGTTCAGATCCCGGTTCTAGCGATGATTAGCTGTGTGGCCTTGGGTATGTGGCTTCACCTCTCTGTGACTCATTTTCTCTGTCTGGAAGTGGAGACAGTGACCTCTGTGGCAGGGTCCTTGGAAGCTTAGGGAGGTAGCGTATGTTGGTGGTCTTCCCTGTTAGTTTTTTTTTTTTACTTCTTAAAACCTTTTCTTCAACTTTTATTTTAAGTTCTGGGGTACACGTGCAGGATGTGCATGTTTGTTACATAGGTAAACCTATGGTACATGTGCCATAGTGGTTTGCTGCACAGATCATCCCATCACCTAGGTGTTAAGCCCAGTATCCATTAGCTATTCTTCCTGATGCTCTCCCTCTCCTCACCCCCTCACAGGCCCCAGTGTGTGTTGTTCCCCTGACCCAGTGTGTGTATGTGTTCTCACTGTCCAGCTTCTACTTGTAAGTGAGAACATGCGGTGTTTGATTTTCTGTTCCTGTGTTAGTTTGCTGAGGATAATGGCTTCCAGCTCCATCTATGCCCCTGCAAAGGACATGATCTTGTTCCTTTTTATGACTGCATAGTATTCCATAGTGTATATGTACCACATTTTCTTTACCCAGTCTATCATGGATGGGCTTTTGGGCTGATTCCATGTCTTTGCTATTGTGAATAGTGCTGCAATAAATATACACGTGCATGTATCTTTATAATAGAATGATTTCTATTCCTTTGGATAGATACCCGGTAATAGGATTGCTGGGACAAATGGCATTTCTGCTTCTGGGTCTTTGAGGAATCGCCATTCTGTCTTCCACAATGGTTGAACTAATTTACACTCCCACCAACAGTGTAAAAGTTTCCCTTTTTTCCGCAGCCTCACCAGCATCTGTTGTTTCTTGACTTTTTAATAATCGCCATTCTGACTGGCATGAGATGGTATCTCATTGTGGTTTTGATTTATATTTCTCTAATGATCAGCCATGTTGAGCTTTTTTTCATATGTTTGTCAGCCGCATGAATGTTTTCTTTTGAGAAGTGTCTGTTCATGTTCTTTGCCCACTTTTTAATGGGGTTGTTTTATTCTTGTAAATTTGTTTAAGTTCCTTGTAGACTCTGGATATTAGACCCTTGTCAGATGGATAGATTGCAAAAATGTTTTCCACTTCTGTAGATTGTCTTTCACTCTGATGATAGTTTCTTTTGCTGTGCAGAAGCTCTTTAATTCGATCGCATTTGTCAGTTTTTGCTTTTGTTGTGATTGCTTTTGGTGCTTTTGTCATGAAATCTTTGCCTGTGCCTGTGTCCTGAATGGTATTGCCTAGATTTTCTTGTAGGGTTTTTATAGTTTTGGGTTTTACATTTAAGTCTTTAATCCATCTTGAATTAATTTTGTATAAGGTATAATGAAGAGTCTTCCCCCATTCTTGTCACCCAAGTCTTTTTGTGAATTGTAAGGTACAGAGAAATGACAAGCACAGGAGCCCCTGGTGTGGAGTGTCCCTCTCGTGTTGCTCACAGGGCGTCACGATGCAGCTCTTCCTGGAGACCTATCTAGGTCACAGTTCTGGCTCAGTGGAGGCTGTGTCAACACCCCAAATCAGGAGCAAGTGATCAATCCTTCTGTGTTTCCCACAATAGGGTGTCTTATTCCAAGGTGAACTTTGTGATTGAAAATCGGTCATTGGTGATGGAGCTCACTCTTCAAGATGTGGTTGAGAAGCACTGGAATTGACGTAGATGTAGTTTTCTTCCATCGGTGTGTTCAGAATTGCCCAGTAGAGATTTCTCATAGTCTGCAGTGCCAGGCTCCAGGCTTGCCTGTCTGCTTATCTTCATTCACTATCTGGTTGTTTCCAAAGCATTGATTCAGCACTGACTTTACAAAGTGCAGGGCTGGGGTGGGGATGACCCAACAGGAGAGAGATGCAGAGGATGTGGGGATATAGGGCAGGCCATGGATAAGTCCATCCAGCTTCTTATTAATGAGTCAGGAGAGGTGATTGCTGAGCAGGATTTGACAGTGGTTTTTGTGCTACTATGCACAGCGGCCCACTGATGAGTTGCTTCTCCATTCTAGTGACTCAGCAGGGTGCTTCGTGTACGTAGTCCTCGAGGGCAGATACGCTGCTGGTTTACTATCTGGCAAGACTGAGGTTCGGAGAAGTTAGAAGACTTGCCCAACCACTTCCTTTTGTTTAAGGGTCTAATCCCAACTCTTGTGTGAATATGACTGCATGTGCTTATACCCCTGGCAATGCTAAAATTATTTTGTATGTTTGCTTTTTCTAATTCCTTAGGAGACTCTCTTGTTAATTATTCTCAAGTTATTCAAATCTTTATTTCTTCCAAAGCTGAAGAATTGTAATTAAATGAACATTGTACCATTTTCTTTTGATAGCATTTGTCTGTTCATCCATCTGTCCATATACCCATCTATTTTTTTATCCACCCATCTATCTCTCTGCCTTTTCATTCACCGATCTGTCTGTCTGTCCATCCTTTCATCCAACCACCCATCTATTCTTCTGTCTACCTATCCATCCATCCACCCATCTATCCATCTGCCCACCCACCCATTCATTCACCCATCTATCCATCTATCCATCCATCTGTTTGTCCACCCATCCATTCATTTTCCTTCTGGCAAGGAAGAGCTAACATGAATCTAAATATACCTATCATCGTCCCTTTCTGAGGCTGCTATTACAAATGGGATGTGGCATTTTGGAAAAACTTGACAACTTACCCTTCATTTTACAGAAAGTTTCCCATGCTGTTTGTGTCTTTCCCTCCCAGGAATGTGAGGCGCCTTCCAACAGCAATATCACAGCATTCGCCCTGAAGGCCAAAGTCATCTACCCCATCAATCAGAAGTTCCGGGTGAGAGTCCTGAGCGCCATCGTAGAAAGCCAGTTACTCCGTCATGTGCCAGAGATTGGGAGGAAAGTGGGGGGATTCACTGTGCGATGTTTGGTCCTGTTTGAGGGTTTTATGGCAAGTTGTTTTAATAGGGATAGCTTTGAGGCTTTGTAATGGAGCAAAACTTAGGGTTAATCTGTCTTACAGCAGTGTTATCAGGAGCAGGACATACCCATGGTAACCGTGGTAAGGAAGTTTCGTGGTTCCTCGTATCCCCAGGGACACGAGGTGACAGCACAGTAGGACAGCTTCCTCTCTGCCTTTTTAACACTAATACAAACACTGATACCGACTCAGTTCTGAGCGCTAATCCTCATTCACAGAGCCCTGGACTAAACACTTACTGAACACTTACGTGCACAGGGCCAGTGTCATGCTAAGTATTTGTCATGCATTAGGCAGTTCAACTTGGTGTTATGCCTATCAGGTAAATAATATTGTCTCCACTTTACACATAACGAAACTGAGGCCCAGAGTGGCTAGTGACCTGAGGTCATGTGACAGGAAGTGGCAGAGCCTGAGTCAGACCCCAACACCTGGCTATGGTTACACCTTCCATGGTGCTTCCAGGAGCCCTCAACCTGGGAGGTGCTTTGTGCAAAAAAGTTTCCTAGTGAAATAAGTTTGGGAAAATGTGGCTTGCCTTCTTGGTGGTCAGGATGACAAGCTCTGGAGTCACAGCGACTCAGTCCTAACCCCATCTCAGCCATTCACTGTGTGGTGCTTCCTGACTTCTCCTGCCTCAGTCTCTTTATCTGTGAAATGGGGATGATGGTGCGCCTGCCTTGCCCAGTTGTTTTGTGTTACACAGGATAACATACATAAGGGCTCAGAACAGCACACAACATCTAAGCACTCAGAACATGTTAGGATCTTTCAATTATTATTTGCTTTTGAAGACAGCCAAAGCCTGTTGAAGGTTCTGAGAATTCCTGCACCAAAGGAATATGTTACCTTGTTTAACACAGGCTTTCCCGAACTAATTTTTCCATGGAACCTTTGTGGTGAGCAGTAACTGGCTCATGGAACTGTTCCCTGGAACCCACATTGGAAACCACGTCCTTCACATGGTTGAAGGGTGGGACGGGTGGGTGGATAAAGGGCATTGCTGCATCCTCTGGGTAGGCCCTGCATGGGCCCTGGGGATCACGCCGTGGTCAGCAGAGCGTCAGCCCCACCCTGGAGGCCCTCACTGCCTGGGTGAGAATGCAGGACAGTATGTGATGAAACAGACAAGAGGCAGACGCCCAGGGACCTGTGGAGCCAGTACGGTGTCCGAAATCCATACCTGGAGGGAGGGACACTTCCACCCAGCAAACAACAAATGGGGGGTGTTTCAGGCAGGGGGACCAAAGTCTGGAAAGGCCCAGAATTATGAAGTGACCAGGAGCGTCTAAGCCAGAGCCACTTCAGTGTAGCTTGGGCCGCCAGAGGTGGAGGCTGACATTTGCTGGGCCCTCTAGCCGTGCCAGGCCCCAGGCTGTGACCCCCTGTGGGCCTGGTGTGCATGGTGCTCCAGCTTCTTGATTAGCAGCATGGAGCCCGTTGGTGGGCAGGGGACAGGAGGGTGACTCCTGCTTTGTGCAGGCGAAGGACAGGTGGTTGGCAGGATTCATGGAGGGAGCAGGCCAGGGGGTCGGACAGCAGCGAGAGAACTGGGTCAGGGCAAGCGCTGGCTGTGGAGGAAGTCAGAGTTGGCAGCTGGGAGGAGGGTGCAGCTGGGTGTCCGGGGAACAGATCCAGGTTGGCAGTTTAGGAGAAGGAGCCTGGTGCAGAGGGGCTGACCTCATGAGGACAAGTGAACTGTGATTCGGGCCTTTGGGATGTGGGTGTGGCAGAACCTGGGATGGAAGCTCTGTGGTATCTGCTGGCACCCTGGCCAGTCTCCTCCAGACAGGCCTTCCTGTGAGCGGCTAGCATGAGTCACTGGTAGAATTATGAATACTAGATCAAATCCCCGAGGCATCACATGGAATGAGTGTGACTTTCCTACTGCCACCCCAGCCTCTGGCCGATGGCTCCTCCAACCCGTCTCTGCATGAAAACTTAAAGCAGGCTGTTTTGCCGCACCAGCCGGTAGAGGCCTCCCCTTCCAGCAGCCTGGGGAGCCTGAGCCAGGGTGAGAAGGACGACTGCAGCTCCTCATCCAGCGTCCACTCGGCCACCAGCGATGACAGGTTTCTCAGCCGCACCTTCCTCCGGGTGAACGCCTTCCCCGAGGTGCTGGCTTGTGAGAGGTAAGGAGAGGGGGCGATGGAGGATGAGGCTTCCAGTCCTCTTGGAGTGGGCCAGGGAGTCACATCATTGTCAGAGGAGGAAACAGAGGCCCGGAGAGGTTCAGTGACTCTGCCAGGGACACACAGTGACCCAGCATCACCGTCGGAGCCCCAGATGCATTTGTCACTTCCTGTGCTGTGTTGCCCAACACTGGAGTTATGGAGTCAGGCCTGATCCCTGAGGAGAGATGACAAGGAGGCCTCATTTAATCACTGGCATGCCCTTAGCCGCTGGTGAAGTTGATTAAGTGGGCAGAGTGCTAATCACTTTACAGGGATTGATGATCTCATGAGGATTTTGCCCAGTGAGGGGCAGCCTGGGACAGGTTCAGCAATCAATAAGTATTAATCAGTGAACGAATGAATTTCTTTTAATACCCCTGTGAAGTTTGTACTGTCATTTCCCCCAGTTCACAAAGAATAAAGGGAAACGCAGAGAGGTTGCATGACTTGCTAGTCACACAGCGGTTAGTGACGGAGCCAGGTTTGATCCAGCCCAGAACAGGGCTCTGCACATGGTAGGGGCTGGAGAAACTCGGGCTGGCAGGTTCACACACCAGGCCTCAGGCCTCTCTCTGCTCCACAATTCCGTGAATCCAAGGTGTGGGATGAGCCAGGGCACGGCCTCTGCTCAGGGCTGCTGTAAAAAGACTGGGCTCAGCGCCTTGAGCCTGAAAGTGGCCCAGGCAGAAGGGACTTCATTAAAGAGGGGCCTTCTTGGATTGGCCAGGCCTGGCTTAGAATGGCTTTCTTTCAGCATTTGGACTTAGAGGATTTGAAATGGTTTGGGTGGGAGAGTCATCATTTAAAATGCATTTGCCTGAAGGGAAAAAAGGTCAAAGACTTTTACACTCTGCCGTGTATCTGCCCCCGCTGACCCTCTGATGGTCACTTGATTTCTCTGATTCTCTCTTCCCTGAGTCAGTTTCTGCATCTGTAAAATGGGCATGAGAATGTCTCCGCTAAGGCACTGAGGAAAGATGACATGTGATGATAGACATGAAAATGCTTGAGGCTGGGCACCGTGGCTCACGCCTGTAATCCCAACATTTGGGAGGCCAAGGTGGGTGGATTGCTTGAGCTCAGGAGTTCAAGAACAGCCTAGGCAACATAGTGAGACCCCCTTTCTAAAATAAAATACAAAAATCAACAGGGTATGGTGGCACACGCCTGTAGTCCTGGCTACTCAGGAGGCTGAGGAGGGAGGATTGCTTGAGCCCAGGAGGTAGAGGCTGCAGTGAGCTGTGATTGTACCACTGCACTCCAGCCTGGGAGACAGAGCAAAACCCTGTTTCTGAAAAGATAAGTAAATAAAAATTTTTTTAAGAAAATACTCAAAGGAGGAAACGTCATTTTTATTTCTCTCCGTTCCCTCTCTCCTTTGGTTTTCTCTTGGAAGTCCCAGGCAGCTATGTCTCTGATACCAACTGTTCTCTTCTGGCCGTTAGTGGGTTTCAAATAGCTCATTAGATCCCTTCTTATAGACCTGGAGTAAGTGTAAGGACCTCAGCGTGCTGCAGAATGAGAGTCTGAGGCAGGGTGTGCTGTGGCTTGCACTGATTAGGGACATGCCAATATCCTGACTCATCATTTCTGATACCCTGAAAGTCTTTTCCGATTCTCATTTTATTTTGCAGCGTAGACATCGACCTATGTATCTACAGCCTTCACTTAAAAGACCTGCTGCATTTGGACACAGCACTGAGGCAGGAAAAGCACATGGTAGGTGGAGATGTTCGCACTCCCTCCTTTTCATGGGGACAGGAGCTGGGGCACAGGGCCTCTGGGTGCAGTGAGTCCCAGATACCCTTGAGAGGCAGACATCAGTGGAAACGGAGCCGCCGCGAGGTGGGGGAAGGCAGCGCTGTCAGGCATCCAGACACACAATGGAAAAGCACTTCATGCCTGTTGGTGGGGCATGGCCCTGACTTTAACCAGAGCTGTAGGGGCCTCAGCAGAAAGATGCGTGCCTCCTCCCGGGGTACACCTCCTGCTGCAGATAGAGATAAGAGATACTTAAAAGAGAATAATATTCTGGAAGGAATGATAATAATGATAAGAATATTTATGAACATGAATGTTCTTGAGTCTTGCTGTGTGCTAGGTCCCAGGACAGGAGTATCACCCTTAAACCTCAGCACAACCCAGAGGGGCGGGTGTCATTATCATGTCCACTCTGCAGGTGAGAAAACTGTGGCACAGGGTGGATGACTTACCCAAAGTGATAAAGCTGCAGGGGTGGCGCTGAGATGAGACGTTCAGTACCTTTTTATGGGGCCACGTGTTCTCTTGACTGAATGAACGAGAACTCAGAACTGTGGATGTGGGGAAAACAACATTAGTCTCTGCCAGGTGCACCTGGCCTCTTATTGCATCAACTGTAGACCTGAGCTATGGGAAACCAGAGAGACGAGTCCCAGTGTAGCTGCAGAACCCTGGTGGGTTTATTCAGGCATCAAGACAACAGCGGTTAAAAATAAGTGTTATTTCTCCATAAGGCACATTCTCTGAATTACTGATTGAGGGATGAGACCCTACAGAGAGAAGGCAGATGAGAGAAAGGGGAGAGCTAGGAACAGAGGTGGACAGATATGTCTACAGGGCACTCTTACAAACTGGAGAAGGGCAAGAACGTCGCATTGGAGGCGAGGTGTGGTGGCTCACGACTGTAATCTCAGGCTTTGGGAGGCTGAGGTGGGAGGATTGCTTAAGCCCAGGAATTTGAGAACAGCCTGGGCAACATGGCAAAACCGTATCTCTGCCAAAAACACAAACAAACAAACACTTAGCCTGCTGCAGTGGTGCATGCCTGTAGCCCCAACTACTCAGGAGGCTGAGGTGAGAGGAATACTTGAGTCCAGGAGATGGAGGCTGCAGTGAACTGTGATCACACCACTGCACTCTGACCTGGGTGACACAGCGAGATCCTGTCTCAAAAAACAAAAACAGAACAAGAATAGCACACTGGGGATGTGCCTGAAAGAAACTTGGGCTCTGTGTAAGCAGGACTGACTGGCCTCATAAACGGGTGCCAATGTTTGAAACCGTAAATATGCTAGAATTCAAGAAATAGAGCATGGCCCTTCATCCCCTCTACCCCCAGCCCCGTGGAGGTCCCTGGATGGGGGCCACCAAGCAGCCTGTGTCTGCAGCCTGCCTCAGTGAGCTACACCCGGCCCGGGCTGTTTTCTCCAAGGCTCCATGCTCCCTGGGAGGACCAGTTGTTTCTGGGCTCAGAGCCTGTCCAGTTGGCGAGCAGAGTAGTCCTGGCCAGCCTCGCCCCACAGCCAGCGAGTGACCACAGGGAGCAGCCTGCAGTCCTGGAGGGAGTGTTCACCATCACTCACCATCCAGCACAGGGGCACGGCCTCTGCACACTGCCAGGCACGATGTCAGACACCAGGGGCAGCCTCTGCCTTTGTGGAGCCCACTCTCTGAGGCAGTGGGGAGGGCAGTAAACAGAGGTCACAAAATAAACAGTGGCAGGCAGCATGACAACGGCCTGTGACAAAGCACCATGTGAGTGTGAAGAGGGCACCTGAGGGAGTGCAGAGCTGGGGCGATGGTCAGGCTTCCCTGCGGGGAGTCTCATGGGGGGAAACCCAGGGAGGTTCCAGGAACACTGGATTAAGGGAGAGAGACCTGGGCTCTAGTCCACCCTTTGACAACTAGGAGCTGTGTGACTTTGGGTAAGTTGCTTCACCTCTCTGGGCCACTTTAGGAAAGGCTTAAAGAAAACATCCTTTCAACTATTGCTATATGGAGTTACTGGGAAGTCAAGCTCTCCCACTTTGAGAGGGTTCTGTGGGTAGAACTCTGGGCTCCATGTCACAGCTGTGTGACTGGCATGGTCACAGCAGCGATTATTCTGCATGTACACTCTGGTAGGCTCAGTGCTTTAAATCTTCTTTAAAGGTTTACGTGCCACTTCACTAACAAGGAACCTGAGGCTCAGAGAGGTTAAGTCACTTGCCCAAGGTCACACAGCTGGTGATGGCAGAATCAGACCTGGACAAGGTCTGAGTGCAAGGCCCCTGCAAGCCCAGGTGTAGCCCTGCAGCCTGCATGTCAAAGGTGCTCAGGAGAAATGTGTTGCACGTGTGATTGGCACCGCCCTGAGAGAGCTGCTTCCCAGCACAGTCCTTCCTGCTGTGAGGAGCACAACTCTGTTGCCGAGTGCTGGGACTGTAAGAACCTGAGGAGCCGCTGGGAGCTGTGCTGCCTGGAGACCTAAAGCTCTATATCCCTGGGAGAGCTGAGCTGGGGTTCAGAAGTTATTCAGACCACATGAGGCCCTTATGCATCCCAGAAGCTTGGAGCTCCCTAGCTGGCCCTGAGGAGGAAGAAACTGGCTCTGGGTTTGTCCAAGAGGCAGGAGAAGCTGGAGTGTAACCTCTATAAAAAGAGTGGCCAGGATGAGAACAGACTGGGGGGCACCAGCACTAGGGGGTTCTCATGGTGCTGGAATATTACTTTGATTGTGGCTGCGTTTATGTGAATCTATACATGGGGTAAAATTGCATAGAACACACACACACGCGCACACACATGCACACACGTAAATGTGCATAAAGATGGGTGAAAACTGAATAAGGCCTGTAGACAGCGGTATTCAACCAGTGGCAGTTTCCCAGTTTTGATACTGCACCATGGTGACATCAGAACCACTCCTGGGGAAGGAGCACACGGCACTTGGTGCAGACACACCTGGCGTTATTGCATTTCACTTAATCGTGCTTCAGAGATGCTGCAATTTTTTTTTTTTTTAAACAAATTGAAGGTTTTTGGTAACTCTGCATCCAGCAAGTCTATTGGCTCCATTGTTCCAACAGCACATGCTCACTTCATGTCTTTGTGTGACATTTTGTAATTCTCGCAATATTTCAAACTTTGTCATGATTATTGTGTGTGTTATGGCGATCTGTGATCAGTGACCTTTGACGTTATGATCGTAATTGTTTGGGGACACCACAAACTGCATCTGTATGAGACAACGAACTTAATTAATAAATGTTCTATGTGTTCTGACTGCTCCACCAACTGGCTATTCCCTCTCCTTAGGCCTCCCTATTCCCTGAGACACATTAATATTGAAATTAGGCCAGTTAGTAACGCTGCAATGGCCTCTAGGTGTTTGAGTGAAAGAGAGTTGCATGTCTCTCACTTTTAAGTCAAAAGCTAGAAATTATGAAGCATAGTGAGGAAGGTAGCTCAAAGCTGAGATAGGCTGAGAGCTGGGCTGCTTATACCACACAGCCGAGTTGTGAATGCAAAGAAAAAGTTCTTGAAGGAAATTGAAAGTGCTGCTCCAGTGAACGCACAAATGATAAGGAAGCAAAACAGCCTTATTGCTGATATGGAGAAAGTCTGAGTGGTCTGCATAGAAGATCAAACCAGACACAACATCCCTTTAAGCCAAAGCCTAATCCAGAGCAAGACCCTAACTCTCTTCAATTCTGTGAATGCTGAGAGAGGTGAGGAAACTGCAGAAGAAAAATTTGAAGCCAGCAGAGCATGAGGTTTAAAGAAAGAAGCTGTCTCCAGAACAAATAAAAGTGCAAGGTGAAGCAGCAGCAAGTGCTGATGGAGAAGCTTCAGCAAGTTACCCAGAAGATCTAGCGAAGATCATTGAGGAAGGTGGCTGCCCTAAATAACAGATTTTCAACATGTATGAAATAGCACAATGTGGTCATGGAAGAAGATGCCATCTAAGACTTTCATAGCTAAAGAGGAGAAGTCAGTACCTGGCTTCAAAGCTTCAAAGAACAGGCTGACGCTAATGTTAGGGACTAATTCAGGAGATGACTTTAAGTTGAAGCCAGTGCTCATGCACCACTCTGAAAATCCTAGGGCCCTTAAGGGTTATGCTAAGTGCTAAGTCTACTCTGCCTGTGCTCTATAAATGGGGCAACAAAGCCTGGATCACAACACAGCTGTTTATAGCATGATTTAAGCCTACTGTTGACACCTACTGCCCAGAGAACAAAATTCTCTTCAAAATGTTACTGGTCATGTTCAAAACCCCTGGTCACCCAAGAGCACTGATGAAGATGTACAAGGAAGTTAATGTCATTTTCATGCCTGCTAACAACATTCATTGTGAGCCCATTGATCAAAGAGTCATTTCAACTTTCAAGTCTTATTATTTAAGAAATACATTTCTTAAGGCTGTAACTGCCATAGACAGTGATTCCTCTGAAGGATTTGAAGAGTGTAAATTGAAAACCTTCTGGAAAGGATTCACCATTCTAGATACCATTGAGAATATTCATGATTCATAGGAGGAGGTCAAAATATCAACATGAACAAGAGTTTGGAAGAGGTTGATTTCAATCCTCATGAATGACTTTGAGGGGATTCAAGACTTCAGTGGAGGAAGTCATTGCAAATGTGGAAATAGCAAGAAAACTAGGATTAGAAGTGGAGCCTGAAGATGGGACTGAGCTGCTGCAATCTCATGATGAAACATGAATGGATGAAGAGCTGCTTCTGATTGATAAGCAACAAAAGTGAGGTTTCTAGAGAAGGAATCTGCTTATGGTGAAGATACTGTGAACGTTGTTGACATGACAATGGATTTAGCATATTATATAAACTTATTTGGTAAAGCAGCTGCAGGGTTTGAGAGGATTGACTCCAAGTTTTAAAGTTCTACTGTGGGCAAATTGCTATCGAATAGCATGGCATGCTGCAGAGAAATCTTTTGTGAAAGGAAGAGTCAGTTGATGTGGCCAACTTCAGAGTCTTATTTTAAGAAACTGCCACAGCCACGCTAACCTTCAGCAACCACTACCCTCATAAGTCAGCAGTCATCAACATTGAGACAAGACCCTCCACCAGCTAAAAGATTACAACTTTTTTTTTTTTTTTTTGAGATGGAGACCTCAGCTCACTGCAACCTCTGCCTCCTGGGTTCAAGCGATTCTGCCATCTCAGCCTCCTGAGCAGCTGGCACCACAGGCCTGCGCCACCACACCAAGCCAATTTTTGCATTTTTAGTAGAGACGGGGTTTCACCATATTGGCCAGCATGGGCCTCGATCTCTTGACCTCGTGATCTGCCTGCCTCCACCTCCCAAAGTCCTGGGATTCAGGTGTGAGCCACCGTACCCAGCCCAACAACTTTTTTTTAATAATCGTCTTAGGCTCAGATGATCATTAGCATTCCTTAGGAAGAAGGTATTTTTAAAATTAAGGTATGTACATTTTTAAGACATACTGCTATTGTACACTTAGACTACAGTATAGTGTAAACATAGCTTTTATATGTACTGGAAAACCCAAAAATATGTGTGACTTGCTTTATTGTGATATTCACCTTACTGAGGTGGCCTGAAATCAACCCTACAATATCTCCATGGTATGCTTGTATTATTTTTGTACCTTCATTTGAGTCTGTAACTATGTCAGAGTTGGCACTATGGAAAGGGAGAGGATGAGGGCTGTAAACATTACTGATTCATTTGGGGTCAGGAAGAAAGTAGATTCGAAACTAACATCTTGCAAAAATAATGTTATTATATCTTATACCATATCAGTCTTCAGTGGGTAGAAAGCCACTTTCTTCTTAGAGCTCATTGTCATTGGCAAATACAATGAAGGTTGGTGGGCAGAGTTCTGGGTTCGAATCTCAGCTCTATCGCGTGTGGCTGTGTGGCAGGAGGCAAGTGGCCCCTGCAAGTTGCTGGGCATTTTCTCATCTGCAAAATGGGGAAGATGGTACCAACCTCCCCACATGCCATGGAGATCAAGTGATAGTATATATAATACGTACATTAGGCTGGCACAGAAGAGTGTTTAACAAGCCTTAACCCATTAAAAGAAGGATTAAAAACTGTGGCCCTTGAGCCAAATCTGGCCATGCCCCTTCTTTTCCATATTGCCTGTGCGCCTGTGTGGCATATGCCTCAACTGCAGAACTGAGTAGTTGCAAAAGAGATCATATGGCCTGCAAAGCCAAAAAAAATTTGCTGTGTCACCCTTTACTGAAAAAGTGTGCTAAACCCTACATTTAAAAATGTCCTGCTGGGCTGGGTGCAGTGGCTCATGCCTGTAATCCCAGCACTTTGGGAGGTGGAGGCAGGCAGGTTGCATGAGCTCAGGAGTTCAAGACCAGCCCGGGCAACACAGAGAAACCCTGTCTCAGAAAAAGGAAAAAAAAAAAAAGCCTTACCGGTTCGTAAAAGAAAAAGAAAATGCCTTACCATACAATTATATCTAAATGACCTTTGACAAAGAGGCAAAAGCACTTCAATGGAGGAATGATGAGCTTTTCAATAAATGGTACTGGAGTAATTGGACATCCATAAACAATAAAAACGACAAAAGAACCTCAACCTAAACTTCACACCTTATACAAAATTTAGCTCAAAAGGGATCACACACTTAAATGTAAACAATAAACTATAAATCTTTCAGAAAAAATATTGCCGGGCATGGTTGGTTCACACCTATAATCCCAGCACTTTGGGAGGCCGAGGTGGGTGGATCACTTGAGGTCAGGAATTCAAGACCAGCCTGGCCAATGTGGTGAAACCCCATCTCTACTAAAAATACAGAAATTAGCCGGTTGTGGTGGCACATGCTTGTAATCCCAGCTACTCGGGAAGCTGAGGTGGGAGAATCGCTTGAACCCGGGAGGTGAAGATTGCAGTGAGCCAAGATTGCACTACTGCACTCCAGCCTGGGCGACAGAGTGATACTCCATCTCAAAAAAAAAAAAAAGAAAGAAAAGAAAAAAAAAAGAAAAAATGTAAGAGAAAATCTCCAGGATTTAGACCTAGGCAAAGAGTTTTCAGACTTGACACCAAAAGTATGACACACAAAAGGAAAAATTAACTGGAATTCATTAAAATTAAAAACTTTTGGTTTGCAAAAGACCTCATTAAGAAGATGAGAAGACAAGTTACAGAGTGAGAGAAAACGTTTGCAAAACAGATGTCCACCAAAGGACTAGTACCTAGACCAGATAAGGAAATTTCCAAACTCAGCTGAAGACAGGAAGCAATCCAGTTAGAAAATGGGAAGGACATGAACAGATACTTCACCAAAAAGGATATATAGATGGTAAGTAAACACATTAAAAAGGTGTTCAATATTATTAAGCCAGCATGAAAATCCAAGTTGAACTCACAATAAGATATCACTACACACTCGTCAAAATGGCTGAAATAAAAAATAGTGCAACACCAAATTCTGGCAAAGATGTGGAGAAACTGGATCACTCATACATTGCTGATGGAAATATAAAATGGTACCTGCAGCCATACTGGAAAACGTTTTGGCAATTTCTTATCAAACTTAAATTGTAATTACCAGAAGACCCAGCAATTGCACTTGTGGGCATTTAGCTCAGAGAAATGAATACTTACATTCACACAAATGTTCACAGCAGCATTGTTCATAATAGCCCCAAACTGGAAATAATCCAGATGTCTTAACAAGGGGGAGTAGATCAAGAAATTGTGGATACAGCCCCCTCTTTACTTTCCTGGGTATCCCCACTTATGGGAGGGTCCTTCCTGGTTTAAAGGACGTCTCCATCCATTGAAACAGGAGACTGACATGGATAACTTTGCATTTCCAGTTCTATGCAACTATCCCCCTGATTCTTCCTTCAAAGAAGCAAACCCTCCTTTGCTTTTTATATTTGCTTTACACATGGAAATGGGGATGTGGAGGGCCTTGCACAGAGTAAGCACCTAATATTTGTTGAATACATGCATGAGGAAGAAATGAAGCTTTTTTAGGAAGCTTCATGAAAATGTAATCCATTATGGGCCATTGTCATAATTTATAATCTGAGATCCTTTCCTTCAGCAAAAAATATGTGTGAAGAGAGGGTGAAAGAGAAGAAAAGAAGGAGAGAGGCAGCGAGGGAGGGAGGAAGAGACAATAGAAAGTAAAAGACAAAAATACCATTAGTTAAACTTTTCTTTCGTTATCTTTCCTTTCTTGGCAATAGATGTTTATTCAGATTTTTAAAATGTGCCTCCTTGACCTTCTTCCTAAAAAGAAGTCAGATGATGAATTATACCAGAAGATCCTTTCAAAACAGGAAAATGTAAGTCTGCAACCCATGTTTCAAGGTAACTTAAAAATAGTTTATTATAAATATACAACTTATGATACAAAAGTATTTTTCTTTCATGTATAAAATAGCTTATTACAATATATACTTTTTAACACAGTGTAGTGAAATATAAAAGTATGTATACAAATATTTTAAAAAGTGTATTATTAAAATTTGGAATACTATTTACAGCAAAGAAAAGAATATTGGTCATATCTACTACTCAAAGGCGGTCACTGTTAATGTTTTTTTCTGCATAAGTTTGGGATATTTTTAGACATAATTTGTTTATTGGTTATAGCTATGTATACTACTTTGTATTCTATTCTCAGTCTTTTATGGAAAGTTTATTTTGTTTCATGCACAGCAAAGAATCAGGGCTTGGAGTCAGATTGATTGAGGTTGGTATCCCGGTTTTATCTTTTACAAGCTCTCAGAATCCTAGTTTCTTTTTTGTGCAATGGGATAATTCCTGTTCTGCGAGAGTGCAGAAAGGATAAGAGAGATGTGTATGATGCACCAAAGCAATGTCATAGTTAGACTGTGAATATGTGAAGGCTGCTATCATCCTCATTATCACAACCACCACCAAAAGCATCATTATCTTATCACCACCGTTTTTATTTTGTACCACCATCACCATCACTACTACTACCACAGTTCTCTTTTTCATCATGTCATTGTTGTCATCACCATCACTACCATCATCTTTGCTATTGTCACCACTGATATCATCATTCTTTCTGTCTTTTCCACCATCATCATCATCCTCATGACCACTATCATCACCAACACCATCACCATCCTCATGTCCTCATTACCATCATCATGAGCATAATTTTTGTCATTGTTGTAATCATTGGCATTCTCATTACTACCATCACCACCATCATCGTCTTCATTACCACCATAATCATCATCCTCGTCCTCATTGCCATCACCACTACCAGTGTTGCAGGGCAGGCAAGCTCCAGAATAGGGTGTAGCCTAGGAGGGTACTTGACTTCACTTAGGAAGTCTTTTAGTGGATGGTGCCACTTCTTGCAGAGCAGGACCAACCCATAGATAGTGTGCCCAGAGTTGGTAACATATGGGTGCTTGGCAACTGTATTTATACTCTTGTAAACCCACTTTCAATTACATGCAAATTAAGGGGCAGTTCAGCGCAAATTGAGAGACAGGTTATTTAGAACTTTCTAAAAAGAGGATAGTAACTTCTGGGTTGTTGCCATGGAAAGGAGTGGTAACTTTTGGGTTGTTGACATGCCATTTGTAATCTGTGATTGTGCTGGTGGGAGTGTCTTATGCTAATGCGCAACGAGGGCAGCAAGGGATCACTTTCATCACCATCCACTGATTCCTGCTGGTTTCTTCACTTTATCCTGTCTGGACCAGATCCCGTTTTGATCAGCAGGGTTGTGATCAGAAAACAAGTCCTGCCAGTCTCCTATCTCACCTTATCCTCACCATCATTATCATCATTATTCTCATTACTACTATCACCAGCCTCTTCTTCATCATCCCCTGCCATCATTTTCATTATCATCATCATTGTTATTGTCATCATTCTCATTACCACCATCATCATCGCATCATTGTCATGACAGTCTTCATCAGCACCACCATCATCACCATCTTTATCAGCACCACCGTCATCACCGTCTTTATCATCTTTACTGCTACCTCTACCTTCACCTTCATTAGAGTACTCCTCATCATCATCATCATTGTCCTTGTTCCCACCACCGTGAGACCTGGGGGTTTGGGAAGGGATGCTGCTTCTTTACTCCACTGGATTCCATGAGGAAGGATGACTCACTGCATCCCAGGAAGGAGGAAGGACATCATTGTCTTCACTGTCATCCTCAGTACCACCACCATGGTCATGGTCCTCAGGCAGTGCACATGGTGCTTGACATACATTATTTCATTTAATAGTTATGACAACCCTGTGAGTGGCCATTATTATTTTTGTTTTACAGCTGAGGAAACTGAGACTCCATGAGTTCAAATGACTTTCCAATGGCAAAAATGATAACGATGATGATGACATTTATAATTGTATTAGGAATAATGAAACAATACTGTCTGTTATAATGGAAAGAATAAGAGCCCTGAAGTCTGCAGACCTCATCTCTACCAGTTAAACAAGGCTGTTTGAACTTAAGCAAGCATGTTAATTGTAATAGTGGCTACTATTTGTCTAGCCAAGTGATTTAAATGCATAATTTCATTTAACACTTGCAATAACCTTAAAACTTTCAGAAGAGGACAAGGAGTGCCCAGAATTTGGAAGAGTAAGGACAAGCCTAGCACTGCCCCTTCCTGCCTGGGCATCTTTGGACAAACTATCTTACCTTCCATAAACCAGCTTTCTCACCTGGAAATGGGTCATAATTTCTCTTTTGCAGAGATGCTGTGAGGATTAGAAAACACATATGGCCTCAGCTTGGGTCTCCAATAGTAGTTTATATCAATGTTATTTTTCCTAGTGTACCTGGACCCATTCCACACTGTTGGCTATGTGACAAGGAACATAGAGAAAATGGAACTGTCTCCCACACTCTATATTGGGGTTTGTAGGACTCTATTCTTAGGACTCACCTTTTCCTTCCTGAGTTCAGAATCATTTGAGAGAGTCAGGAAGACAGATATGGAAATGTAGCTTTATTACTGATTAGAGGCCAGCTTGGAGGACGTGGCTTCAGTGCACAGCTATCATGGCTTCCTAATACTGAATCCCAGAATTCACTCAATTACCTAGCTAGTAATGGGCAATGCTGGGCCACCTCAGGCTTCCCCACACAGAAACAAGGCCTTGGCTACCCAGTTCACTCTAGGCTGAGATCACACTAGAGCAGTGGCCTCCCCTGATTGGCCCATCACAAACAGGAAGAGGTTGGGCAAGCTTCTGGCTTTTAAACCAACCAATCAAATACACACCACTTCCGGCCCCGGGGTGTCCTTCTTTCCCAGGAAAACCAGAAGAAGAGCAAAGAAACATTCCTTTCCAACCCACTGGATGTCATGATATTTTCCAGGACTTCAGAATGATTGAAAGATACTATTTTATTGATTTTGAAAGTATGGTATAATCTTTTTTTGAGGGAGGATATAGAAGAAAATAATTCATTATTCTTGAGGCTCTATGTTTAATGAGAAAATGAGTTTGTTGCTAATAGGTTTATTATCAAACCTCATGTACAACAACCCCCAGAGCATTTAACTATTCTTTAAAAATATTTTGTGAAATGTGAAAAATAAGAACATTTATTTTTCTAGAATTTAAGACACACTAAACTTTTTCTTTGTTTATTTGGTTTCTTTTTTTCTTCTTCTTCAGGATTTGGAGGATCTAGAAAAGGGACTTCAGGTCAAACTGTCAAACACAGAAATGTCGGGGGCTGGTGACTCTGAGTACATCAGTCTGGCTGATGTGGAAAAGAAGGAGAGGGAATACTCTGAACAGCTAATCGATAATGTGCGTGCCAGACTTTCTTTCCTGTACACAAATTTTGGTTTCTAAAACAGTTAAATTGGCTAAATGAGAGAGATGATAGTTAGAAGTGTGCCTAATACTTGAATTCCCCTATCGCATTGTGCCCTAGAGGCAGGATCCAGTTTCTGATGCTAAGTGATAGGGAAGAAGTAATTAAGCAGCAACAATTCACAAAGGGAGGTTTATTTTTTATATCATGAATTATCCTCATTTAAATTTCAGATTAGTCTTTCTGTCATTCAAAGCAAAGATTGCTATAACCCTTGATGTCATCACTGCCCTTTGGAATAGAGTAGAAGAAAGCTGCTAGGCATCGCTCATGAAAGCATGTTTTAAATTCTAGACAGAATGGCTTCCCTGAAACATCTTTTTCTTTTCTTTTGGGTTCTACCACCCCCTGTTCATATACTATGTATTAAACAAACATGTCCTTGGCACTCGCTCTTCACCAGGGATTGTGCTGGGCACTGGGGACTCAAAACCGTTAGACATGGCCCTGCCTGAGAGAGGCCGGGAGAGATGAACAGGTGAGCAGGTGAGGGCTTCACAGGGTGACATGTCTTGTGATAGAAGGAAGCACAGGAGAAGGCCCAAGGCAGACACAGTGGATGGAAGAGTTCGTTTTACCCCAGGCTTAGGAAAGCCTCCACAGAAGAACGGGCCCTGGAGAGGCTGGCTGGGAGAAGTGTGGGTGCTGGCCAGTGATGAGGCGGAGACAGGAGCTAAAGAGGGCTGAGAGCAAGTCCAGGTAAGGTAAAGCCAGAGGGATCTGACCAGAGGGCTTCTATCTTATGCCAGTGCGGGGGAGTCACTGAAGCTTTGAAGCAGAGGGTAGCTGGGTTCAGCTTCTTCTTTAGAAGGGCTGCCCAGGCACTGAGTGGAGGGTGGTGAAGAGCTACTGGCCTAGTCCAGCAGGAACTTTATTAAGGCAACTGCAATAGGACGGAGAGGTGAGGAAACGTGTGAGAGAAGCTATGGTGGTCTACCAAGGGGCGGCAGGTGGGGAGAAGGAGGGGGTCCAGAGTCAGTGCTGCTAAAATAAGGGCCCCAGAGCAAGAAGGTCATGGGAGGGAGGGAGCCAGTGCTCCTCTCCTCTGAATAGGTCCAGTATTGAGAGGAGAGGCTTGGAGATGGAGGGTCTCCATGAGAGCCCAGGTTAGAGGACCTGGAGGGCTAGAAAGTTCTTAGAACTGTGGACCAGGATGCTAAGGAAGAGGGCACAGCCTGCATTCCCGTGGTCCACAGAACCCCCAATGCTGTGTGCAGCATCTTGTCCGTGTCTGCCTTTCTTAGGGAGAGGGTTCGGAGTTTTCATAAGATTCTCCAAAGTATTGGTGACCTCCAAAAATGGTGATCTCTGGCCTAGAAATGTGTGTAAAATGGGAAGAGAAAAGAGCTTGGTGTCAAATCTTGAATCCTGCCCGTATTTAAGGAGGAGGGGATGAGAAGAATTGGGACAAGAAAGCAGAGGAGGAATTGGATGGGCTTTGCAGAAGCAGGAGAAAGTCAGGTCACAGACGCCAAGAGAATCAGGCAGAGCAGGGTGTGCAGAGTTGGCATTAGCAGTTGGTGTAAGCAGAGCAGGGTGTGCCGAGTTGGCGGTGTGACAGTCTGCAGTCTCATGTCAGGTGGGAGGCGTGTCATTTGATGGCTCCAAGGGGAAGAGCAAGGTGAGAACATGAGGGTGCCAGGCAGGTTTGAGGTCCCTCTTGGCAGCGATGGGAGGAGGAGCTGACCAGCAGCATGTGTGGGGTTTACTGGGAGGCAATGGGGCCCTGAGATGGGAAGCCGCATTGATGGGCGGCGTTCATCTGGGTGCAGGCTTCCTCCTGGCAGAGCCAGATCGACGCCGCAGTTGAGTCTGACAGAGTTTCATGACTTTGAGTCACAGCAACAAGATCAGCATGAGTTTCTGGTGTCACTAACCCCTGCCCCCTCCCATGCCTGGTCCAGCCAGGCATGTCCATTTCAGCCTCTGAGAGGCTGAGCTGAGATGGAGGCAACCCCAGCGGTGGAGCTAAATGGGACTGAGCCAAATCCTGGCTTTCATTGGCTCCATGACCTCTGACAAGTGACCTGACTCCCCCAAGCCCGTTCCTACATCTCCGGATAGATACTTTATCATGATATCAAATGTGTGAAGCACAGAGCCTGGTGAACAGCCTGTGGGCCATGAGGGAAAGTTGTTCAGATTCCTAGTGTCATTGTCCTTAGAGCTCTGACTGGCTGTGATGACGCAATTAGACCTCCTGCATTCTAAGCCACTTAGGAATTCCCAGCTCTGCTCCTGATAAAATGAGGGGGCGGGAAGATTTTAAAGCAAAATGTTTTCATGGTCAGCATCATCTCTGCCATATTAAGCTTTTGTACTTTTAGGACAAAAACTAGTATTTAAACGTCAGTTTATGCTTTTACTTCCAGGAAGTATTTAATCCCTTTTAAAATTCCCAAAGCTTCTATGAGCACATTGTCACATTTCATCTGCCCCTAGGTAGCTGTAATGACCCATGCAAGAGTCTGTAGGCTGGACAAGCTACTGCTTTCTTTCCTTAGCAGCAGTGCTCTTGTGTCTGCTGAAACGCCGTCGCAAAACTGACTGGCACTTGCAATGGAACCAGAAGGAACTTTACTGTAGAATGTGATTGTTGCCAAGATAAACTCACTGAAATTGTAGAATCGTTTAGAATCCTTATTTGTGATAAGGAGTGAATTGTAATTCCCAAGCATGCACCGTTTGGCTTTCTTAAGTAAGTTTTTCCCTCACTTCATGTTGCTTGTGCTCATTTCACAGATGGAAGCTTTCTGGAAACAGATGGCAAACATCCAGCACTTTCTTGTGGACCAGTTTAAGTGTTCCAGCTCCAAAGCCCGACAGCTCGTGATGACTCTGACGGAAAGAATGATTGCCGCCGAAGGGCTATTGTGCGATTCTCAGGAGCTGCAAGCTCTGGTAATGCTGGAGGGGACGGGAGGGAACATAAAGATATTCAGACTAGAGATTTGGAATCCCGAGGCTTGACATCATTAAATCTAACAGATTCATGTTGTAGCTGGTTATGTAGAGCCTCAGGGGGGAAAAAAAAACATTAAATTCATTCATCCATGTATTCATCCATTTATTATCCATCCATCCACGCAGCCATCCACCCATTGACCCTTCCATCCATCCATCTATCCATCCATCCATCCATCCACCCATCCACCCATCCACCCATCCATTCACCCATCTACCCATCCACCCATCCATCCGTCTACCCATCCATCCATCTGCCCTCCCGACCCATTTATCCACCCATCCATCTGCCCTCCCACCCATTTATTCATCCATCCATCCACCCATCCATCCATCCATCCATCCATCCATCCATCCATCCATCCATCCATCCATCCATCCATCCGTCTACCCATCCATCCATCTGCCCTCCCACCCATTTATGCACCCACCCACCCATCTACCCATCCACCTATCCATCCACCTACTCATCCATCCATCCATCCATCCATCCATCCATCCATCCATCCATCCATCCATCCAATGAGTAAAGATTCTGGCCAGCTCAGTATTACTACAGCATAGAACACTGGTCCTAAACTTGAAATTACACATTGAAATTATCTGGGGAGCTTTAAAAAGTACTGATTCTTGGGCCCCAGATGGGTCTCCATCCCAGAGTTTCTGACTTAATCAGACTGGGGTGCAACCTGGCTGGGCACTGGGGTTTTTAGAGCTCCCCAGTGACGACAGTGGGTGCTGGAGTTGACGCCCACTGGTGTAGACACAGCATTGATTTACTTTCCTGACTGCCCTGTTTTGCCTGCAGAGTTCTTTTACAATGCCTTTTCCTGGCCTTCACTCTGAGGTTCTGATGTGACTGGTCTGGAGTGGAGGCCCTGGCATTGTGGGTTTTAAAACTCTGTGAACTATTCTGATGGGAGGCCAGGGATACAAACCCCTGGTGCATGAGTGTCCAACCTTTTGGTTTCCCTGGCCGCATTGCAAGAAGAAGAATTGTCTTAGGCCACATATAAAATATACTAACACTAACAATAGCTGATGAGCAAAAAACCCCAAAACACAAAAAAGGTCCCTGCTTATTTTTGTGAAACCTGCCAACCACAGATAAGCAAAAAAGTCCTCACATTCAAAGGGTTGGACACTCATGGGAGAGAAATCTGCAAATCCAGCTTTGACTCTGGGCTCTGTTAGGAGCTGTGTGATCTTGAACACATTACTTAGCCTCTCTGAGCGTCTGTTCCTCTATTTATAAAATAATAGTGCTAAGAGTTGCCACAGACAGGGCCTGGGTAGATGCTGAGTGACTCCTAATACCCCAGTCACCTTTGGGTTCCTCTGGTACACATTGGGCTCGTCCTGTGTGCGCCAGTCAGTGTGTACTAGGCCCAGGGAATGAGCCCTCTGATGCTGCTCTGAGCCCATTTCCCTGTCCTGTGCACCAGCCCATGTGGCCGCTCAGCTCAGAACCCTCCAGTGGCCTCCCCGCCCTCAGCACAGACTCAGCTCCTTGGAAAGCCAAGCCTTGGCAGACCCTCACCACCCCTTGCACACCGCAGGCCCCTCCCAATCCGTTCTGCTCCTCCAGGTGTGATCCACAGACCACAGCATCAGCAGCACCGGGAGCTGGTTAGAATGCAGAATTCTGCCCTCCACGCCTCCCACACAGGTCTGCACTGTAACAAGACCCCCACGTCCACACAGTTGTTTGAGAACTTCGTATGCTTTTTCTCAGCATATGCACACATGGCCTGCTTTTTCTCTCAACACTACCGAAAGCTAGGCTTGGAAGACACTTGATTCACAGCGTACTGATAAGGAGCCCACTCAGGGACCCACCTAAGATCCCGGTCCTGTCTAATGACATCGCTGAGCCTGGGCCTGAAGCTGCCTGGTTTGCTGCCCAAGCCCCTTTGAATTGGATTTCCGTTTGATAGGGCTGCTGACTCATATTACTGCTCTGCAAAGGTGAAAGACTTTTCTTCCTTTATTTTTTTCTTTTGCTATCAGCAGGATATTGATGCAGAAAAAAGAAAATACATCCTTAGCGGACTCTGGCCAGAGTATCAGCCAGTAACTTCCAAACAGGAAGACGAAAAGGGATCATCCAGTTTAGCAGCATGACTGTCCTTCAGCCAGTGTTTAATGAGCACCTACTGTGTGCCACATGCTGTTAATGGAAACCATGTTGCAGAGGTTAGGAATGCAGGCTCAGGGAAGAAACTGGAGCTCCCGCTGCAGTCTTGCCACCCGTTAGCTATGTGATCTTGGGCAGATAATTTAACCTCTCTGTGACTTGGTTTCATCATCTGTGCAATGGGGGCTGTAATAGCACCTGCTCTCTCACAGGGTAGTTGAGAGTGTTAAAGACTCGTCTGTATATAGACTTTTTAGAGCAGAGCCCAGCACATAGGAAGCAGTCAGTACTTATTAGTCATTAGAGCCCCACAGGCCACATGTCAGCAGAAGAAACAGACAACAACAAATTATTGTAATGATGCGTGGACAGGGCTACACGGTCTATGTTTGTATGGAAGAGGGATGGATTCACTGTGCCTGCATACCGAGTACCAAAGGGGGAAAATATGGCTTCTGTATCTCAGAACACAGAAGAGATGGAATTCCCACAGTGGCATCCCATGTTTCTGGCCTGGGCATTTGTAGCTGGAATGTGCATCTCTGAATATTAAAACTGGAAGAGCCCTTCAAAGGGACCCTGGTGGTGATTAGATTCAGTTTCTTGAGACACACAAGAAATAAACAGCTGCCAAGACAAATGTAGATAATGATGAAAACAGCTAACACTCAGAGGCTCACAGTGCCCCGGCCCTTGTTCTCAATGCTTGACATATTTTGACTTACTTAATCCTCACGTCAAATCTATGTGGCAGGGGTCAGGTGAGGAGCTTGTGCCCAGGTCCTAGAAGCCAAGTCTGAGCCCGGCACTGTCGAGGACTCAGCCATACTCAGAGCAGGTCGGGGCCCCCATCCCACATCCCACATCCCTTTTCTCATGCACCTCTCTCCACTCTCATCCTCCCTCCAATATAAGCCCATCGATTGCACCCTACCCTAGTCAGCCTGTGTTGGGTTCTCAACATCCTCCTGTGTTCTTTAGAGGTGGCCAGAGCCGCCCTTCCTGTGGTCCACCCGGCACCTCCGCTTATCCTCTTGCGCCCTCTAGTGGTCATAGGCTGCTGGAATGAGCCTCGCCGTCCGTGTCCATCACTGGGGGATATTCTTGCCCTGGTCTTGTGGGAACAGAGGCCAGTGCAGCTCAGTGCACAGTGTGGCCGTGGCTGGTCAATGGGGACGTGGGCAACTCAGGCCTGGCCCCTGTCTTCAAGGGCTCTCAGTCCAGGCTAGGACTGCCCCTCACAATCACCTCCTCGAAGACGGGAACCCTGGGGCAGTGGGGAACAGAGCAGGGGACCAGTGAGGGTGGGGACAAGCAGGGAAGGACCACAGAACCCGTGAGGACGAGAAGAACCTGGCCGGGCAGGGGAGTGAGAGGAGGCAGCGAGGGTGTTCCAGGAGGAGGGCTCCGCATGTGCAGAGGCTGGGCGGCCGGGAGCAGGCAGGTGTGTGGGACAAAGCCCCACAGAGCTTCCTGCACCACGCCCGGGGCGCTGGACTTGATCTCAGGGCAGCAACAGGAGGGTTTGGGGCCATGGCTGACAGAACCATCAGCATCTCTGAAAGGGCCCCTGGTCTGTGAGGCGGGATCAGAGCCTGGGGCAGAGATGGGAGGCTGGGGAGCAGGACTGGCCCGTGGCCTTGGCTCAGCACAGAGGACAGGCCTGAATGAGGCGTGGTTGGGTGTAGGGGGTGCAGAGTCTGTGCCGAGGGAGATGCTGAGGCCCCTGCCCGCTCCTCCTTTCCCCCTTACTCTCATTCCACGAGCAGCCGCTCTCGGGTGTGCAGGGCCTTGGCTGCCTGGGTGGACATTTCCCCCTGTCTTTTCTAAGGGTCTGTGAAATGATGAGGTGGGGCCGGGGAGGGCCTTCTGCAGAATCTGACTGTGGGGAGTCATGTTGGAAGCCAATCATTCCCCTGAAAATCTCAGCCGTCCCCAGCAGTCAGGCTCTCTGGGGCTGGAAAGAAAGCCAGAACTGCGGACATTCCGCGTTTCCTCCCCAGCCCTGTGGGGGCCACAGGGCCAGATTGGCCAGGGGAGGTGACTCTAAGCAAGGTGGCTTTTCCTCCTTGACTGTTTGCAAATCTGGATTCTCTCCTAGGAGAGTGGCTCTCTGGGGAGCGCTACTGGCGACTAAGTGCCTATGTGCTAACCAGCGTCACCCTCCCTGCACCCCTAGGAGAGGCACTTAATCCTCACCTTGGGAGCAGACCCAGATCTCACTCATGAAGGAGAAGGGGAGTTCATTCCCCTGAGCTCTGCTCTCCCGGAAGCCGATCGCCAGGCAGTGCCATTAGTTAATGACCCTGGCAGTCTCCTCCCAGCCATGAGTTAACGTGCCCTGGTGGTTCCCAGGACACCCCAGCTATGGTCCTGTGTGTTTGTTTCTGCAGGATGCCCTGGAGAGGACGATGGGGCGGGCACACATGGCAAAAGTGATTGAGTTTCTGAAGCTGCAAGTCCAGGAGGAGACGAGGTGCCGGCTGGCTGCCATTTCCCGCGGCCTGGAGCTGCTGGCCGGTGAGGGGAAGCTGTCCGGGCGGCAGAAGGAGGAGCTGCTCACGCAGCAGCACAGGGCCTTCTGGCAGGAGGCGGAGCGCTTCAGCCGGGGTGAGCCGTGGCGCGGGTGCCGCAGTCCACGACGCTGGCCTTCTGGGTCCCTGGGGCTGAGCGGTGTAAGGGCTGGCAGCCTGGGGCAGTGTGCCCATGACGTGGGCACAGGCGGCCTTTCTGCTTCTGCCCTAGGGACTGGGTCACTGGGCTGCTCTCTGGGGCTCTCTTCCCTTCTCTGGACAGCAGAGGCCATGAGGACCAGTGCCCAGGGCAGGGGTCACCTGCTGCCCTCACTCACCCGGGATTCGGGCTGATTGAGCCCTCGTGTCCTGCAGCAGAGTCACCGGGAACTGCAGAGGGACACAGGAGGGTCAGGGTCTCACACTAGAAATTTACACAAAGTGGCCCGTGTCGCCCAGCGGCCCCTCATGGTCCTGCCGGAGTCATGTGGCCCTGCTCAGCGGCAGGGTGGGCAAGGGTGGGCCATCGTCCAGCATGTGGGGCAGGAAGGGGAGTCCAGGGTGGCTGAGCCGTGCGGGGTGGCTGAGCCGTGTGTGTGTCCCACACATGCTCCTGTCCCAAGGCTGACCCTGGGGTACGGGTGGGGCAAGGCTCAAGACGTAGAGGCATCTGGGCTTAGCTGAGGTCACACTTCCAGTAGGACCCACAGAAGGAAACCCAGGTCTGTCACCAGCAGGGCGGGCACTCTCTCTGCGGCCAACACAAGCTTCCCCAACCTCCGGACAGGAGAACACATGAGGGTCCCCACTGAAAGTCTGGCTCAGAGAGTCACCTCCTGTGCTGTGGCTTTTTTCAATCCCAGAGTTTGTCCAGCGAGGCAAAGACCTGGTCAAGGCATCTCTGGCTCACCAGGTGGAGGGGACGGCAAAACTCACGCTGGCCCAAGAGGAGGAACGGAGAAGCTTCCTGGCTGAGGCCCAGCCAACTGCTGACCCGGAAAAGTTTCTCAAGGTGACGCACATCCCCGGCCTCTGCACATGTGGGTGAGCTGGTGGTAGCTCTGTCCCCGTGACTGAGCACGGGGAGCCGGAGGTATTCATCAGACGTGAGGTTATCTCCCTACTTCCCATGCGTCAGCCGAGTGACCGAATCTCGGTCCCTTAGCCCCTACATCCCTAGTGTCCTAGTAGACTGTAAGCGGGTGATAAGAGCAGTGCTGCCCTCACTGGGCTGCTGAGAAGAGGAGGGGGTAGGATCCGTACAGAGCTTGGCAGAGTGCAAACGCATAGCAGGGGTGCACAGATGGTGGCAATGACGTGAAGGAAGCAATGTGTGGCCCAGAGGGGACAAGTGTGTCGCGGAGAGTAAGGCAGGCTCACACACCCAGAGACAGGGCCCTTGTGGGTCAGCTGCAAGTCCAGGAGAAGGAAGGGAGCCCCCAGCCTTGCTTGGGTTGAGTGGGCAGGGCCAGGAAGCGGTCAAGGTTGGAGGTACCCTTGGTCTTGCCTGAGAAGGGGACAAGAAGACCTGAAGGAGGACAGAAAGCAAGACGTCACCCTCCAAGGAAAAGGAATCAGTTGGCCCCAGTGCAGGCTCCAAGGACCTGGGCTCGCCAGTTCTCAGAGAGACCACCGAGCTCTGGTTTCGCTCTGCTTGCTTTCCCTGGTAATGGGCAGTGGGACTAAGGGAGGGCCAGCTTGTCCGTGACCATCTTGCAGGCTGGTTAAGCACTGAGCACTGAGGCCAGCCACACCTGGGTTTGGGTGCTGACTCTGCCACTAAATAGCTGGGTGAC